AATCAGATCACGATGTTTTTTTTTCAAGTAAATATCTGCAAACTCTACGGGATTTTCTTTCATGAATTCAAGGATATACAGTACATGAACTTTCGAATGACACAAATTTTGTGAGAAAAAAAAATTTTTGAAGAATTTTTTTTATAACACACTCCTCTTACTTTCCGTGGTAAAATTCCGTCTGGCCTGAGACATTCCTTTGCCTCGATTGTCATTCCACAAAGAAATTAACCTGACCTCATGCCAACTGAATCTGCACTTACTCAAGTGGTCTTGAAATAACTAAATTAGCATAACTAAATTAGCGTCACATTTATTAAATTAACGCATCCTGACCGTAAGTAACCCAACTTCCCAATTAACCCACATTTACGTGGAATAATGTTTAATTTTCTGCACAAGTTCAGTCGTTTTCACATACAAAAAAACTCTCGGGAATGAAAAATTCGTCCATTTTCTGCATTCAATTGAATAAAAAAAGAAATTTGAGAAGTGGCAACCGAATTCAAGGGGAAATTTAAAAACAGTAACAGATTAAATTACGATTTCCTTTCGCCAGGAACAAGAATTGTAAAACAATATAAAAATGATCAAACAAAATGCCCAACAGTTGACCTATTTCTCAGAATTGAAAACAGTAGGTAAATTTATGCTTCTTCAACCTTCAGCTGGTTTTCCCTCTCGTTTTATTCTCGCATTTTCGAAGGACAAAGAGAAGTGATAAATTTGAAAGTGCTTTTTTGTGGATTTCAATACTTTCGGCGAGTTAAAATGAAAAATAAAATGACAAAAATGAAATTTTAAAAATATGGGCAAACAAAATGCCCATCATTTGATTCTTTTTCGACCTTCAGGATTTTTTTTTTTCAAATCGTACTTCTCATAATGCCATTAAAATATTTATTTAAAAGTAAATATATTCTCAAATTTTAAACTCACGCGTAATTTCCTTCTTTCCTTCCCAAGCAACTTGAATAACGAAAACAAAGAAAGTAAAGCTGAGAACAGATTTGAATCAGTTCATTCAGAAAGAGAGAAACAAATGCATAAAAATTAAACGTGAAAATTGTATCAACGCTAAAACACAATTTGTTGAAGGCGTGTATTTTATCACAATTTTCAATTTTTCTCGCCTCTCCTGCGTTTCATCCGTTTCGTTTATTTTAATCAATTTAAAAAATAAATGAACGAAGAGATAAAAAAGAGAGTAAAAGTTGAAAATAGATTCTAATTAGTACTTTCGGAAAGATAGCATCAGACTCATTAACAAAAAAATGTGAAAATATAGCAGCGCTGAACGAAAAAAAATTGTTGAGACTCATGATTATTAGTTTCGTTTATTTTAATCAATTTAAAAAATAAAACTAAACGGAGAGAGAAAAAGAGAGTAAAAGTCGAAAATAGATTATACTTACTAATTTCGGAATGATAACAATAGACTCAAAGACAACAATGTGAAAATATGACAGCGCTGAACAACAACAAAAAATTTGTTGAGACTCATGATTATTAGTTTCTTTTATTTTAATCAATTTAAAAAATAAAAATAAACGAAGAGAGAAAAAGAGAGTAAAAGTTGAAAATGGATTCTAATTAGTACTTTCGGAAAGATAGCAATAGACTCATACACAAAAATATGAAAATATGGCAGCGCTGAATGAAGAAAAACATTTTTAGAGTCATGATTATTCTAAAAAAAATTATTTTTCAAATTTTCGTTCCTCGTCACGTGCGCGGTCATCAAATACACACTCGTAAAGAGACAAGCTCAAACATGGAAAAAAAATAAAACAGACAAAAAAGATTTGTCCTCCTTTTTATTTCCCGAAATAACTAAAAAATAAAAAAGCGGGTAGGGGCCAACGAAAAATAAACGAACTGGACAATGCGTGGGGTTCGAATAAACTACGAATAAACTCCACAGCACCGTACCGTACCGTACCGTACCGTACCGCACTGCACAGACTATTGTACTCACATTTGAATAATGAACGGATGCAAGGACATGCCCAGTACTCGCTTCTCGTTCCTCACGTGCTCGACCTGCTTGAGACGCACGACGTCCGCAATGGCAAGTACCTTGAGAGCGTAGTACGTCTTCGTCGCCTTTTCCCGACACAAACACACTCTGCCAAACGTGCCAGTTCCTGCAACATCCCAAGCAGACAAATGAAATTAAAAAAAAAAAGAAACAAAATTATTGGGGACAAATGTCGCCACAATATAATTTGATGTCCAGTGTGGAGGATAATAATGAAAAACACCACAATCAGTCCAGGACACGAACGGGAATTCCTTGTAGGAGAATTTCCTCTAATTTGAAGGGATATATGTATTTCACGCAGATTAAATTGATAAGCAACCACTCAGCAACATCGAATTAAATGTGCCAATTAAATTTAGCGAGAACATTCTATTACTGGATGAAAACCAAAACACATCCATAAAATTTGAAAATTTCAATTTTCGCCACCCATTTGCTAATTTTGCAATAATTTTTTGAGAGCGCAATACGTCTTCCGTTGCCTTCAAACGAAACACACGCAAACTCTTCCGAACGTGCCAATTCCTATATACACATCTCATTCGGAAGCAAGAATTAAACAAAAATCAACTGCAATTTTTTTTCGTCTTGGTTTTGTGAATATTTCTTGCAGATTCTTCAATTTTAATACAGAACCAAGACAAAACAAATGCTGCGTACACAAACATTGCTGCAGATTTTTAAATTGAAAAATCTGCAAAAAATGTTTCCAAAACAGCAAAGAAAAAATTTATATAATAATTTTTTAAAAATATTTATTGCAGATTTTTCAATTTTATTACAAAACAAAGACAAATAAATGCTGCGAATACAAAAAATGCTGCAGATTTCCCAATTTCAATTGAAAAATCTGCAAAATAATTTTTAAAAACCAAGAAAACAATTTGCAAAAACATTGTAAATATTTTTTGCAGATTTTTCAATTTTATTACAAAACCGAGACAAAAAATGCTTCGTATAAAAAATTGATGCAGATTTTTCGATTTAAATTTAAATTGAAATATCTGCAAAAGATTTAAAAAAATTTGCAGTTTATTTTGTTTAATTTTTGCTTCCAATTCGGATGTGTATATTAAATGGCACGTTCGGAAGAGTCAACAGAACAATTTTTTTATCGAAAAAAAAAACAAAATTGCTGCGTATGTACACTTTGAAGCCTGCATCAAGCGAAAATCATCGTCGCATCAGCGAATGTGACAACAACTCAACGGCGATAAATGTATGCAAAAACAATACCCGCAAAAAAAAAAAAAAAAANAGAATAAAAAAAAAAAAACAAAAAAAAAAAAAAAAAAAAACGATCGAACCGAAGAAGTTCTATAATGACTTGTATCAAACCTGACAAATAAATTTAGCAACAATGTCATACAGTACTTCTTGGATAACGCCAACAGACATGCAACAATTTTTCTTTTATTTTGACTATATATATTTTTTTTTCGTGTGGAACTAATGTGGAAAATTTTCCTTTGAATGTCAAGTGAGCGAAAATTCTCACATTTCAAGGCTGCGCTTAGAAAAAGATAATATATACAGTTCGCAGATGAAGAGAATGTCCGCTTCAAGTCTTGTCATCTAAACATTTGTAACTTTACTCAAATGCCCTTTACTCAAATGCTTGCTGCTCGTGCGTCCGAATAATTTCTTTTTTCAACAAAAGAATTCGATTGTCAGTATCGTTTTTCGATTGACGAGTTCACGGGATGGAACATTTACTCGCATTCAGTTCAGGGTCGGACGTTGAACAGGAATAAATTGAAGTTGACTTATCCAGTGATGCACGGAAAAATGTTTTTTTGAATCATGTAAAAAAAAATAAATATTATAACATAACTGAAAGAAATGAAACAGCCCTTGAATTCGCCTGACAATTCTCCTAATTCGCCTTCCGACTAGATTTTCGTTCAGACGGACGCTTTGAAATTCGTCTGAAAATGACTCAAAGAATTTCAAAAATGCAATCTTGACGATGAACAAAATCAACCGATTAAAAAAAGCATGCCATCGTTCAACTCGATAAAAAAAAATTCTCATGAAAAACTTTACAGAAGCGAATCAGATTTCCACAGCAATTTTGAAACGGCTCTTGAGTAAATTCTCTCTCATTTTTAATCCCCTCGCATAAAATTGCAAGGTTGAGATCGACATAAAATATGCTGTAAATTTAATCCCACAACGTAAAGGTAATTGATCCCATTTCGGCAACAACGGCATTACAAAAAGTCCTTTCTTCCACAAATTGTGCTTCGAAACAGCGTTTAAATAAAAAAAATACAGTACAAGCGTTATTTTCAATTTAGAAAAAAAAACCAAAAGTTCTCGAATAGCGATTTGTTACGCAACAAAGCGACGAGAAGAAAAAAAAATTACGCAACAACAGAAACGGCTATTTGTTTCAAAAAATAGTTCCCGAATCTCAAAGAAAAAGAAAACAGAAAACGTCAATATATGATCCGAGGTCAAATAATTGGGGGAAATTATGATCCTGATAATTTTCCAGCATCCGCCAGCTCAAAGTCAATTATTTTCCCCCCAAGACCTTTTTTTTTTGAAAACTAAGAACCTTGAGCTTTAGAAAAAACTGTGCCAAGGATGTTTTTCCTTTCTTTCCGCGTATTTTAAAATTCAAAGATGAATTGCTTTCAGTGATGAAACTTACCCAACACACGTAAGATCAGAAACAATACTTTCTCGTCGTTTTATATTTCCTGGCTACAGTCATCAACTATACATCAAAAAAATTAATTTTTGTAATTACACATTGCAGAATTTGAATTGCCACACCAAGCCAAAAGATTCTCGGTACGTAATGCCTCTTCGTATCCTTTTACATTTTCGATAAAAATTCCCAAAATCACACATAATTTAAAATCTGAAAAATAGTCTGCTTTTTACCAAAAATAAAATAAATCCCTGAAGAACTGGTTTATGGTCTTGACATTGATCCACACACTTGTCAAAATGACCCTTCCACAGCAGAGAAATCTAAACAAAGAATATCTAAACAAAAATAATATCTTGCTTCAAAAAAACATGATTCAATCATGAATAACAAATATATTGTCTTGAATTACATTATATAAAACAATAAAACAATTGAATTACATTATATAAAAAAATAATCTTTGTGAAATGACACTTGAACAGCGGAGATTTCTAGTACAGTACATAATGTACAACCCACGTCAATCTTCAATAAAAACACACAAAATATCTGCACTTCAAAATCCTAAAAAAAATCTAAAAAGTATTCTGCTTTCAACAACAACAACACCTGTTGAAAATTAAAGAGGGGGTGTTTAGAAACACAGATTAAAGGAATCAGCAAAGTAGCTAATCTCCCTAAGAATCTTGTGGAACCAGAATTGACCTCAAGTTCCCACCATCTTCCTCCAGTAATGTGTTGTCCTTTGAGGGCTATATTTTTTTTTTAGAAAATTCCTGAAATTTAGCAAGGTCATTTCTTTCATCCCTTTTCATTGAAATAGTTTTCTTGGTCATCACTGACCAGCAACCTTTATCATTTGAGTTTTAGTATCCAAACAGAGCAGACCTTGCAATAGTCCAACCATTTGAATCTCTGCGTTTGCCTTACTTCAGTTTTTTTTATAGTCCTTGTGTTGTCCAAACAACTCGGCTTTTTCAGCCGTGTTCTTTCTTTCAAAAAAGAAATATATTGACATTAAACTAAAGCTTTCCAGCCCCAGTCTCAGCCTGGCTGATTAAGTACAGTAAGACCCCAAGATGCAGACATAATTGGGGCATCAAGAATGTCCATAAGTCAAAATGTGCCCAAGTTGAGTCTCATTTTCCATTAGACTTACATTAAATAAATTTTAATTGGTGTTTTATGTACAAAATACTCATCATAATTCCATGAAAAAAAAAATTGTCTCCCAATTGAAGCTGATACAATCAATATATTTCAACACAATATGGACATTTTGGGGAATTGAATACTGATAAATCTGCACAGTAAGTAGAAATGTTGGCATTCTCTGTAAAAATAACATTCAAGTGAGAAAGAGAGAAGGAAGTCCCTCTATGCTGGAGGTAATTTTTTAAATTAGCTAAATGAATGGTAAATTGGTGAGAGAAATGCCCAAAAACTTTTCTTACATCAATTTTAGGGCTGCAAATATCTATTTCTTGTAATTTGGCCAGAAACTTATTTGCAGTTTTATCACAAAATGTCCCTATATGTTGAGTCAGTGTCCTCATGACAGGCCTTTTTTAATCAATTTTTATGGGAAGATAGGTGTCCCTATGTCAAACTGTCTGCATGTTGAGGTGTCCGCATGTGGGGGTCTCACTGTACTGTATTTCACTTCAAGCTCATCTGATTAAGCATTTTATTACAGTACAAGCTCTTGTTATTGAGTATTTTGTTACAAACACTTACGGTTTTCTCATCACTCTCTCACTTGTTCAGGATTCATTCCCCAACAACATCAACAACAAAACACAAGAGAAATAAGCCCAAGCAACTGACCTATCGTCTTGACGATCTCAAAGTTGTCCACAGTGTACTCTCTGGACACGTCGTCGTCATTCACCGGCGGCGGCTCTTTGGGCAAACTCCCCTGCCGCCTCCTCGCCACCTTGGAAGACGCCATGTCAATGGAACTCGTCGCCGTCGTCCGCAGCTGCTGCTCTTGATCACCGCCACCACCGCCGCCACCCCCGCTGCCTTCTTCACCCGTCGTCGTTGTGACGTCGTCGACAACTTCCCCCGGCAGAACCACAACTTGAGCAGCGACCTGCTGTTGTTGTTGTGGCGGTCGTGGAGGAGATGGGGTTGAAGAGGAAGAAGAGGAAGAAGAAGAGGCGACTCGCGACGCCGTTGCCGCTGCCGCCGCCAGCGACGTCGCGGCTCGTCGACACAGGCCCGTGAGTCGAGCGATGCAGTCGAACTTGGATTCCTCGTCAGTGACGACTTTGACTCCGGCTGGTGCTGCTGCTGGCACGCGACACTCTGTCGCCAGAACTTCCTCTTTTTGTTTCTACTCAGAAGAGTAGTAGAATCGACACCACGAGGGACTGATTGATTGATTTGATTCGATCCGATTGATCCAATAGTCGCGGAATTTTTGAGCGTTTTTTTTTCTTTAAATTTTAAATGAAGAGCAAGCACCAAATAAAATAAAAAAGGAGAGAGAAAAGGGACAGACCTAGTGAGCTTCCTTTTTTTTTCTTTCTTCTAGGAGAAACCGAAGACTAGATCGCCGCTAAATTCCCGTCGCATCGCTTCATTTGGTCACTTTTTTTTTTTTAATTCAACCGGAAAGCTTCCTGTGGAGATAAAAAAAAATAATGGTTAAACATTATCTTCAATGCCTCTTTTCTGAAATATAAAATAAAACAGTTTGGGCAACTATTTGAAGTACACATAGCAGGTGGACTGACGCTACATACGAGGGTTCTAACAAAAGTTCTCGGAATAGAAATGAAAATGGCGTGTAATTGAGCTGAAAAAATTATTTTTAGGGAAAACATATTCTTTGGCACACAAAAAAATCAGCCCTGCTTGGCACATTTTTATTTTTTATTTTTTGGAAAAATTCACCCTGGCAGAGTTTTGCTCTCCGTCCGCATAACGTCCGCATCTCGGGGCTCCACTTTCTTCTTTTAAAAAATGCACACGTATTTAGAGTTTTAGCCCTTTCCCGCCCATTTTGCTCAAATATTTTTTTAGACAAAATCCTGATCCAAAAAAAAAAGTACGGGTTAAAAACACTGGCTAAGAACATTATCCTCGTTTCAAAGACACTGACTCAAAGAAAAACGTCCGCATCTCGGGGCTCCACTTTCTTCTTTTATAAAATACACACGTATTTGGAGTTTTAGCACTTTCGCGCCCATTTTGCTCAAATATTTTCATACGAAATCCTGCTTCATCAAAAATACATAACAAGTACGGTTTAAAACCAGTGGCTAGGAATGTTATCCTGTCGTTTCAAAGACACCGACTGAAAGGATAACGTCCGCATCTCGGGGCTCCACTTTCTTCTTTTATAAAATACACACGTATTCAGAGTTTTAGCACTTTCCCGCCCATTTTGCTCAAATATTTTTCAGACAAAATCCCGTTTCTAAAAAATTACAAAACAAATACTGTTTAAAACCAGTGGCTGGGAATAATATCCTCGTTGCAAAGACACTAACTCAAAAGGATGACGTCCGCATCTCGGGGCTCCACGTTTTTCTTCTAAAAAATACACACGTATTTACAGTTTCAGCACTTTCCCGCACATTTCGCTCAAAATATTCTTTCAGACCAAATCAGATTTCTAAAAATTCCATAACAAATACGGTTTAACTTTAAAACCAAAGGCTGGGAATATTATCCTCATTCAAATACACTGACCTAAAAATATAACNGAACTCTTGCAAATTTGCAACGTTTTCAATCGCGTGTTCAACTTCACTTGAACAGAAATACTGTAATTCCTTAGTAATACGGACTCAAACTGAAAAATTTGAGAGCCATTCGGAACTCGACTCTGTCAATCAAAATTCTCTGTTCAATTCGAGAATCAATCGCAACGAAGACGTGCACTGAAAAAAAATTTGATGAAAACATCAAATTCGAGAATGAGAAAATAATGTTAATTATTTTTTCATCAGGATGCAACCTGAATTTTCCATCAAGTTCACGGAAATTTTCCCCGGAATCAAACTGATCCCCGTCCGTTCTCCCAATCGAAAAATATTTAAATTGAAAATCAATCATCATGAACACATGCCCACACACACACACACACACACATTTCGTCAAAAATTCAGAATTAAATACTCGAGGAAGCAGAAAATCCACTTAAATTTTTCGCGGGAATTTGTGGAGCGCAACTTCACTCCCTCATTTCGCAGAAGTCTTAATTTGACACGAAATTGATCACAATCGGTTCTCACAGTCGAGAATAAAAAAAATTAAATTAAAAACAAGTCACTTTGAAAAATCAGTCTTCATGAAGACGCACGTTTGAACGAATTTCTGAATTCAAAACTGAAGAAACCAGAAGATCTGAATTCATTTTCAAGGCAATTTTTGTGGCTCCAGTTCACTGAAGTCTTCGTGACATGATGAAACTGATACAAAAAACGCAGTGTTGGAACAATAAGGTCTGAAAAATAAACGTTTCTTTCACAGATGCAAAAAAATAAAAAATAATAATTCACTTCGAAAAAACGATCTTCATGAAGAAACACATTTGGTCGAATTGCATAATTCAAAACTGAAGAAACCAGAAAATCTGCATCAATTTTCAAGGCAATACTTCAGGTTCAAGTTCATAGAAGTCTTTCCGACACGAATCTGATCACTTTACAAAAATTAATCTTCATGAACGCACCCGCAATTGGTCAATTTTCCTTGAAATAAAAACTCAACGACACAAGAAAAGCTGCAACCGTTTCCGCAATAATTTTCCAACATGTTTTTCAATACCTAAAAATCCGCGCATTTGCGAAGTCTTTCTCTCTTTTCAAATTTCTTATGAAACAGAAATTTTCGAAATCATCCAGACTTTATTGTTCCAACACTGCGACTGTTGATCTCGCCTTCTGGAACCTACACCCATCAAAACAAGCAAACATATATACTGCGTACACGATGAAAAAAAAAGCATCACATAACCGCTGAGCATAGACACGCAATTCAAACGAAATCAACACCCCGACCATCGAACTCTAACCCGAAACGGGTGCAGGGTCAGAAGAGCGCCCAAGGGACCAACTGAGCGCTGGGACAACTCAGCGTTATCCCTGCTGAACAAGAGCAACAACTGAGCTTCGCAGAACTTGATCGACACAAAAACATTTGACATCAGTAGTCCAATTAAGAAACGAAAATTGAATATAATTGAAAAAAATAATAAAATTAAGTAAAATAATAATAAACTTGAATTAAAATAATGAAAATATTAAATGAAAATAATAATAAAATTATATTAAAATTAAATACAATTAAATTAAAATAATAATAAAAATTGAATTAAATAATAATAAAAATTGAATTAAATAATAATAATTAGAATAATAATTATAATTAAAATAATAACAATTAAAATAATAACAATGAAAATAATACTGTAATTAAAATAATGATAATAATAAAATTGAATATAATAAATATACATATATTTGTATATAAAGTGTTCTAGAAGTTATTTTTAATCCATGGAACCTTTTTTATTAAATTCCCCATACGCAAGAACCACGCGAACCTTTTTTCCACAAAAAAAAAGTGAACTAAAAATTAGAAAACGTATTGTATATAATTTGAAAATGAATATTTTCTTTCTTTAATGTCTTTTGAAACATTGGCGCGTATAATATCGTATAATAACTGATTTTAGTTAAATCAGCAGCCAAAACAAGTCCTGGAATTCCAGACAAAATCATATTCAATTCATTTACTTGATCACAAACTGCGCATAGACTGCGATGAACATCTTCCCGTGGTGTAAGACTTGGAAACCTCCCGAGAATTCTCATTACTTCACCTTCTAGAAAAAGACCTTCAATAGACCCATTGCTTATTTTTCGGATGGACAAATTGCACAAAAAAGAAGAAAAAATACCACACAAATATTTTACGTGAGAGAGGCGATATCAAGTTGCAACTTACGCCATCATTTCGACCTTGACACAAACAGATGATCCTGCACAAAAACCAAGGTCACGACTGCAGTTGTTGATTTAATATTTTTTCGAGGAAAATAATCGCAAGTTTTTTGTATGAATTCACTCGTGCAGAGAAATTACTCTATTTGAATGATAAACTGAAATAGAACAATACGGCCGAGGTAAAGTTCCCGCATCATCTTTTTTTTTCTCCTACACGTTGTCTTGGAAAAGATATCATTCCTACATAAAACAAGGGAAATATTTATTTACACGAGAGAAGCTTCTCCGTCTAAAAGTTGAACAACGCAAGGCTTAATTTGATTCCTGGACTGACAAAAAAAAATTCAATGCATATTTATGACTTTTTTTTCTGAAACTAGGTCAGACCAGGTGGTGTTATGTTTCTCTTCGAAGCAGCCATGCAGTAGCGACATCTACAATAGCAAACATAAACTATACTACTACAGTACATGTACTGTACAGTACTTTTTTTCGTGCGCAATTCGATCAGGTTCAAATCATGCCTCAGTGGAGTACGGTAGTTATTTTTCTTTCCACCAGGTGTCACCGGTGCATGAATCCCGCATGGCTTTCTCAACAGAAAAAAAAAGAAACTGGAGCACAAAAGGTTTTGAGATTTTCTTTTTTCTTCAGAAAATAAATAAACATGCAATTAATAATTTGATAAATTATTTTTTAAATTCTGTGATTCCATTGACCAATGATTCCAATAATATGCGTAGAATGTTCTGTTTCTACTGCAGGTAAATTCCCTCTACACCAAAATTCATCCTACATGAAAATTTTTTTCCCTGGTCCCTTGAATTTCGTACAGAACCCATATAACATACGGATAGAACCCGACCAAAGAATATTCGTTATACAGAGAATATATAGTTGCAGATAAGATTCTCTCGAAGAGTCAGCCTGTATTAAGTAGCTCTCGATAGGTGTCGCTCCAAGAGAGGCCAGTTGAAACGAATTCCCTCCCTCATCATAATGATTAAATTTTCTTCAAATTCATTAAAAGTGCAAACACAATTCTTAAAGAAATTGGCGGATTAATTCAAGATCTCTCAATTATTTGTCAATTCTTAAATTTAAAAAATTGTCCAAGCATTATTCCATCAACAATATCTTACTCAGTTGTGTCACACTTACTGACTGACGTACCTTACAGTAAAGATTGAAATTAATGCTGAATATACGCAAGTTTCTAAAACAAATCAAATCAAACAAATTTGTCGTAGAAGCCTTCAGCTAAAATCCCCATAAATTCCAATGAATTATACAACTGATCAGCAATCGCTAACCCAGTGGATTACGATCGACTTCAGCCAATTTTCGATCATTAAGAATAAAATGAATAAATAAAAATAGCACTCAGACATCGTTCCAGGAAGAACTCACCACGAAAAGTCAGAATTAAACCGACGACGAATAACGTTTTTCTTCACACGTTTCTTCCCGGCAACACACGCGGACATCAATCACTCAAACACCTGGACTTTTTTCTTTCCCCGTACGTCAGGAAATAATTACCTCGAAGACGAAGAAAATATCACCTTATCTTGAAATTTCCCTCTCGGTACCGGAAATGTTTTTCCCTTGGCAACACCACAGGAAGAAGGGATTTCATAACACGGTAACCATAAAAAGACTGCAATCTTTTATAATTCGATGAGCTTCTTCCGAAATATTGTACTGCGTGTGCAGGAGCATTTATGCGATGGAACTTCAAAAAAAAATGTGTATACAGTACCACGTAAAAAAAAAACCGTCAACAATAATATTCCAGATAATATAAAATACGCCATTCAGATTTTGAATACTTTCGATATCGAAAGCGAAAGGAAAGATGATCTTTTGCGACTTTTTTTCACATGTCATGAAGCCGAGACGGGTAAAAACCGGCCGAAGATGACGTAAAAATGACTCGTAAGAAGGATTATTTGACTGTTATCATTATTATTATTATTGAAATAAAATAAAACGAGGTAAAGTTTAGATTTTTTATTCATCTTGACTCTTTTTTTCAACTAAAAAACGACGTCAAAAAAAAAAAACAACGCAGGATGAGGGAAAAACGTCGTTAAAAATTTAGGATCAGATACTGCATCTAAAAGGAAATGTGAAATCGAGCGATATTTTTCAGAAGTCACGAAAA